AGACAAAATGAACAATTCAGTGTTGCCTGTAAGTACAGTGGTGCCTCCGTGCATGAGCGTTTTTGTTTAGAAGCGTTTGGCAAAATTTTTTGTTTGCAAACTCTGCATTGGTTGACAAACACAACTGGGGCCATCTTTCCCACACAAACACAAATGTGGCCATCTTTTCCAAAATCGTAGAACAAATTAAGTTCGTGAAGTGAGGTACCACTGTACTTGGGACATTCTCACTTAGTCTCCAAACCCTGTTCAAATGCCTCCACTCTGAAGCCTTCACTAGTTCTTTCCCATGTCATCCCATTCATTCTTTTCTAAATCTCTCACAGGTCTTGCTTTGGATGTCTTTTAGGTATACTCTAAAAGCAAATATCACTTTAAGCTTGTATTAATAGGTGTTTGTGTTATATATCCATATCTCTAGGTGCCTAGGACAGGGTACTTCAGCTTTAAAATACGGTTAGGATAATACTTGCCCCAACAACTTCACGGGGGCTTTAGGGAGAACGTAATGCACCACAAAGTGAGGGAGCAGATGGGACACTCCATGGCCAAGTTGAGATGTGTCCCACATTCCACGTTCCCTGCCACTGTCCCTGGTGCACAGAAGCCTCAGCTACTGCGGAAGCACATTATTCCAGCATGAAGAAAAATTTAGCAGCCACACTGTTCAGCCTCCTGTTAGCCTCCCCTTGCTACGTACCACCCTGGGCACTACTTGCTCCATCCACAGAGCTCAATGTCCTGCTCCCCTTCTACTCTTGGAGGCAGGGAGAGGCAGGATCCCCTTCACCCTGATTGTGGCCATGCTGGAGAGGGGCTGCCTTCACTTCCTCATCCTCTAAGTCTCATGCTAGAGAACCAAGCTAAAAAGAGGGACAGGAATGATAAAGCCCCAGTCACAGCGCCTGGAACATAAAGGTGCTAAATTGGTTCTGACCTCTCCTGACGTCCATGAGATGTGCATTATCACTCACATTGCATAGATAAGGAAACTGAGGGTCAAGAAGCCTAGGTGGCCTGACCTCAGCCTTCCTTAACTTCGTCTCTTGCTAGGAAGTGGTGGAGCCTGGGTTCTGCTGACCCAGCCTGGTTCCTGCAGCCAATGAGAACAGATGGGACGGGATGCACACCTTCTTCGAGACGTGCCTCTCTCTGGTACATGCTTGTCCCGATGACTTCCAGACACCTGGCTTTTTAGGCAGATGCAGACACAGGTCCTCCGGCCTAGGGCCTTCTGCTCGCAAGTAACAACCAGGCCTTGGAAGAAGCAGGTGGATTTTCACCCAGTCCCACCTTGAGACCAGCAGATCAGAGCCCTGCTGAATCAAGCATCTCTGAGGGGACAACACAGAGTCCCTGAAGAAGTGCAGGAGGTGGTCAGCCAAGTAGGCCTTGCCCCTGAGTACTCTTCAGTCCAGCAGCCTTGCCCTGTGCTCATACCTCATAGGCCAAGCTGTCCACAAGAAGGCCATGCCCTGGAAACCAGCGTAGACCTCCCTATGGGGACTTGGGGAGCTTAGCTCTGTAGCCCCAGGCCATCGAGCCTCTACTCCAGCCCAGCCTTGGTCCAGGGAAGCCTCTCTTAGGGGCCCCAGGAGGACTCAAGGCCTCCCCAGCCCCCGGAGAAGCATCTGTTCATACCCACACACAGTGAAACCACAGGAAGGAGGAAGCAGAAGGGGTGACCAGAGGCCCCACTGGTGCACAGAAAGAGGGGTTTAAGCCTTCATGCTAGTGAGAGAAACAGCAGAGGCGGGAGTTAGGCTGCCAGGGCCCAGGGACACAGAGCTACTGTACTTCAAAGAGGCAGTCTCTGTTGGGGGGAGCAGCCACCAGGCCCATTTATTGTTTATTTTATTACTCTGGCTTGCTGGGCTGTAGGCCAGGGAAGTTATTTCAGGCAGAGATCATAGCACATTAATTAGTTATTAGAAGAATGTCCTTTCTGTGTGTTCTTCCTGAGTCAAGAAATAGACCCCATAGCAAGCACATAGAACTGAAAGTGGATGGTCACTCAGGAGGCAAAAAGCCAAGAACAAGGGGAATGAAGAGTCAGGGCTTTGTTTCCCAGAAAAAAGCCCCTCACAGGTTCAGGCCTGGGACCTAAGAGTGAATCAAGCAAGAACAGAGGGGGGAAGGCGGAGGGAGGGCAGGCATGCTGAGAGCCTGGCCTGGGTGCCCTTAGCTATCCTGAGCGATCTTTATTTACCTTGGGGAACAGATGTTGGGCTCATTTACCCTCTTGGAAGGCAAATATGAAATATAATTCTTAATGCAAAAGAGGGAAAAAAAATTAAAAACAAAAATACCGCAATTTGGCCTAATAATTCCATGTCTAGGAATTTCTGAAAGAACAGTCCAGTATGTGGGAAAATCTTATGGACAGAGATATTCAGGGTGATTTTTACAATGATAAAAACATTCTATATGTAGTGAAATATTATGTAGCTGTCAAAAATAATGATTACATGGGAAATGCTCATGTTATAAGCAAAAAGAAAAACCTAATATGCAAAATTATATATGTGGCATGATCTCAACTACAGTATAAAATAGCTAAAAATACTGGAAAGATAAATATATTTTATTTGAAATATTTTCCCTTGAGCTATAGTATGATGGATGATTTTGTTCATCTTCAGATTTATTTTCTGCATTTTCCAACTTATAAGAGAAAGAAACCATTGGATTTAATGAGAAGGAAGAAAATACGTAATTTGGTTTTGAGGGATTCCCTGTCCTTCAGCCCCTCCTATTCTGCTCGTTGACCGCCTGGAGGGGAAACAGCTTTTGATGCAAAGGCTAAATTCAGTTACTGCCATGAATGGGGAGGGGAAACTCTTGAGCTTGGAGGATAAGAAAGAAGAGGGATCTGCCTCTCACAGCTCTCTGTGTACCCCAGATAAGGAGTAATCTAGGGCACCTCACTTTGCCACTTTCTTAGACTCCGTAACAGCCAACAATGACTCAGGGAAAGCTGGGAGTGTGTCTCGGACAAAAAGCACTTAAACCCATCTGTTGTTTGGGAGCCCTGCCCTTAGGGATGCTCACCTTTCCTCATCTTCCCTCCCATTCTGCAAAACATCCATTGGGAATTTCCTGTAACTGAGACCCTAGAGATGCTAAGGCACAGATGCTGGAAGGAGCTCAAAATAACACAATGTATTAACAGTGACAGCCAAGGCATGCCCAGAGAGCCAGGGATGTATCATGGAGCAGCCAGCAAATGGTCGTTGCTTCCTGGGATGCAGGAAAATGGGCCACGTGGAATGGAGAAAAGGTTACAAAGGAAACCTGTGCCCAGGGAGCTCTGCAGCATCTCTGGAAGCAATGGACATTTCAGCAAACGAGGGGCAGAGGTTGGATCAGGAGTTCTCCAAGGATGGCTCTCAGATCCCCAACATCGTATGTAAATTTGGGATATATGGGCATTTTTTCTAAAGACAGGCCAATAGCTTTCATTAGATTTTCAAATTGGGTGCTGATCTTTAAGAAGTTAAGCAATGGATTAGATTAATATCTAGGGGCCCTGGTAGTTGTAACATCGTAAAATACCCAACAGTCAACAACTTCAGCAATCACTTGCTCTATCAAAGCTCCTGTGCCCAAGGCTGTGAACTCACAGACAAACCTGACCTAGTGCTTTGCTCAGACGTGACGTGTCAGCACGGTGTACATCCTGCTCCAGAAGGCTTGAGCTATAGGCTTAGCATTAGAGAAAATTAGTACCTAGAAAACGAAAGTTAACCAGACCGTTAACTTTCTGGCTCTCCCTACTAAAACAAGCAGACGGCTTTCCACGCTGCAGATGCTCAGCCGGCCAATGAACGGACAGAAGAGGACCCAGGCTTTCAAATCCTCTTTTGACTTGGGGCAGTCCCTGCTCCCACACTGTAGGAGCACGACTCTCAACGGAGGGTCACCAGCACCCTCAACAGTTTGCAATGCCGGTAAGTGAGCCCCAGAGAAGCAGCCTGGCCTGGCAGGTTGTATTCGAAGAGGGCCCTGTTCTCTAAAGACAGGAAGGACATCACTCTGGTGGACACAGATGGCCCTCTCTGATCTGAACGCAGGCTGGACAAGATGACTTCTTGAGGATCCTTCTAGCCCCAGGAGGCTGTCATCCAAGGGGACGGATGACTCACCCTCAAAGTTACAGGCGTCTAGCCAACCATCTCCTCACATACACCTAGGTCCGTGGCTGCCCATTATGTGGCTTTGAACAATTCATTTAACCTCTCTACTGCCTCAGTTACCTCACCTGAAAAGTGAACGGGCTGGATGAGACAAGGCCAATAACTCTTCCACCTCTAAAAGTCTTTAATGTTATTATAGAGCCATTAAGATGAAAGAAGAAAAACAGACTAAAAGCATTCTCCTCGGGAACTCTGCATCTGTCTGAGTCTTGGAGAGATACACCTAAGAGCTGTGCCACAGAGAAGAAAAATGATTTTACAAAAGGGCAAGTGGCACCACCAGGCAGGGGCCAAGGGTCCCCGCTCACCTCCACTCCAGTCCTGCAGCCATCAGGACTCCTCAACTGCAACCCCAAGCCCCCTGTGTGCTTGCTGAGCCCTTCCAAAGGCAAGGGAAGTGGTCTTGGCTGTGAAAGGCAAGTGCCTAAAAAGTGAGTGTGTAAGACACCCCACCAGCATAAGGTCCTCCAGAGAGCAGGAGCCCTCCCACTTGTAACCCCTCCCAGGCCTCCGTTTCATCATCCAGAAAATGGGGAGAACAGGTGTGGTTCTGAACTTGAACATTTTAAACTGTCCACCTTATCAAGGGCTAAGTACAGGGGACAGGCACTGCACAGGCCGGGGAGGGGGACCAGGAGGGCAATTGTGGGTTCAGCTTTTGAGGGTGCACACAAGGCTTTCTCCAGAGCCTTTAACTGATGATCGCTCGGTTGTCCCAGGAGGGCGTGGAGCCCGGGAGCCGCCCGACGGACTCATTGCTGAGGGGCAGGGTGGGCTGTCTGCCGGGGCTCCGGGCCCGCTCACCTGATGAAGGTGGTCTTCCCGGTGGAGTACTGGCCCACCAGCAGGACCATGGGCTTGTTGTCAAAATCGGCATCCTCCAGGGCGGGTGAGTGGAACTCGTGGAAGCGGTAATGCTCTTCCAGGGGCAGCAGCTTGGTCTTGTAGAGTTTCTTGAGCCCCTCGCTCACCGTCTGGAAGACCTCGGGGTCCTTCCTGCGGCGGTCGTCGGTACCCAGCCAGCTGAACATCGCGGCAGCGGGAAAGGCCCCTGGGGAAGTGGCGCCGCCGCCCCGCCTCGCCTCGCCTCACCGGAGTGCAGGGCTCAACCGCACCATGGCCAGGGCGCGCTGCCTCGGCTGCTGGGACCAAGCCCAGCCCCTGCTTCACCCCGCAGTGCCGGCCAGGCGGAGGAAGGCGATCTGGGCTGCAAGACGAGGCTTGCAACCTGGGGAATTAAAGTCGAATCTGCAATTACGCTGCCCGATGCCAGGTCGGTGCGGGTCTCCGTCCCCGCGGCCCTTGCCCGCTGTGGCTGGCGTGCGGCGAGGGGCTGCCTGGGCTCCGCGCCTGCCCGAGGCACTCAGAGGAGGCGGCGACACTGCCCAGCCGGCGGTCAGCTCCGCATCCGCAGCAGCATCCCGCAGCCCAGGCGCGCGTTTAAATGCCAGCGGTACAGGAAGCTGGCGTGTGTGGGAAGTCCCCGAATACTGGCAAGGCCCGGCTGGCCCCACGGTGCGGGCGACGCGAAGCCGAGCAGGGCGCCGCCATGTCTGTGGGCAGGCGCCCGCCGGCCGCGCGGTCGAGGGACGCGGAGAGTCCTGTAGGAAAGCGCTGACATTTCGGAGCCCGCCTCTGGGGGTTTGATTTGGGAACAGCGCCCTCTCAGGGACGGCTGCGAAGACAGCGTTGACCTTCTAGGGTACTGAATGCTGTCCCTGCTTTGATAGCTCTGCTCCTTTAGTTACTGAGGTCAGTTCCCTGGGAACACAGGTATTCTAGTATTTAGGAGTATATTTCGTGGGGGTTGGAAAGAGGGTCTAATATCAGGCTACATAAAATAACCAAAAATGTCACTAGGCAAACTTTTTGTTAGGCTTCGGTGAAGTCAAGACTGTTCCCATTCATTCCGATAAAACGAGACAACTCCCCCCCCCCCCCAAGTGTTGAGCAGTATTTTGGGTAGACACGATTTGGCTGACAAAGGGTGGCACTAAGACCCTTCCAGGAGCTGTAGTCAAGGCAGGCTTTACAGAGAAGACACGAGCAGAAGGCCATGGAAGCTCCAGGGATGAGTCGCCCTTTTTTGTGCTGGTAATTTGATTCTGCTTCACAGAAAGCCTGCTGTGAACTGGATCTTCAGTGATGAACCCATAGAGAAGAAATGAATCCATTCCAGGCTAAGTGAAGGGCATTGGCAAAAGCCTGGGGCTGTGGAAGAACTTGGTGTGTCCAAGTCTGGGATAGCTGGAGTATAGGGTTCCGGAAGGTGGAAGAGGTGAATGAGGCCAGGCGTGGAGGTTGTGCCAAGGCAGGAACCAAACAAGGGATGAGGAATCCATAACAGTGTTCTTAATAATGATGGTTTTATTAACAAAATGCTCACCAGGTGCAGATGCCTGGGCTAAGATCTCCACCAGCATTGTTTTGCCTAATCTTCACTAGGCTGTGTGTGAGGCACAGCCATCATCTCCAGCTGCATATCAAGCAGAATGGGTGGAGCAAAGGTCAGGCATAGGCAAAAAGGGATGCATTGCTTGTGGAAAGTTTAAACGCTCAAAGCCTGTCTGCTTTGCATCAGCACCAAGCTAAACAGTGTGGTGAGAAATCACTCCTCCTCCCCAAGGCAGAGGGCTCCGCTGTCCTCCCTTCAGCCTGCAAGGAGGCACTTACCTAATGGATCCAGTGGGACTGGGGCTGCTGGGGCAGTGCAGGGCAGAACTGGAGGAGCAAGGGGCCCCAGGCCAAGAGCAGAGTCAGGAACCTACAGGGACCACAGCAGTGGGAATGGAAAAGAGGTTATCTTTAAGGGATTTGATGGCACGGCGTTGGCAGATCTTGATATATAGCAAAAGAGGAAATGAGGATGAGGCAGAGCTAGGGATGATTACAAATTTTCTACTGCAGGAGTCAAGACATTTGGGGAAGTCAGAAAGAGAGCCGACTTAGCAGACCTATGATGCATTCAGGCTGAAATGGACTGCGGTTCAGGCCTTAAGGAGCTGCAGAGAGAGGCGGGCTGCTGGGATTTCCCTGGGGATCTTCAGAGGTGAGTGCTTACTGGAATCTCCTTAGTTACAACTCAAGTCTCCTGACTCCATCCTTGAACCCCAAAGCTGGTCACATTTCTGGGCTCTCTGCACCCCTAGCTGAGAAAACACTCCGGTTCATATTGCATCCTTGGTGTGTACACTAGCACCAACGTAGGAAGCTGAGAGGTAATCTTACGGATGTTTAACTCACGTGGCATGGGGACTGAATAATCAGGACACCAGCCTTCCTGGTTTGAGGAAAGCCGCAGGCTGTGTGCTGTGCCAGGTGTGGCTAGGGTGGCCGGAGGGAACTGGGGGAGGCTCGTATAGAAATAGTTCAGTCGTTTTTAAGATCAGGATAGATATTCTGTTTTGCACCACTGAATTTCAGCTCTGAAGGTCTGATTTAACCAGAGCCTGTTGATACAGCTACTCCATTCTCAACTCTGAGTAGTTAGACATCTATCTTCCTTAAAAGGGATTGTAAAATACCATTCACGGAACTGGTATACTTGAGGTACAATGAAAGTACAATGGAATTAGGGATGGGTCCATGGACAGCTTCAAATCTATTTACAGTGTTTTGTTTCTTAAATTAGATAATGGGTATTTGGCTGTTCATTTATTATTCTCCCTGTCCTTTACTTTAAAAAAAAATTTCTGGTCAGTAGATGCCCAAATTGCATTTTTGCTTATTTTTTTCTTTTAAAAATAATATAATGAACCTCTTTTGAAGTCATCATCCAGTCCAAGAACTAGAAAAATTAGCAAAAATTTACATCTATGTATGTTCTTCCCCTGTCCTGTCCCCTGCTCCTCTCTACTCCTGGAGGGACCCTTATCGTGGATTTAGTGAATATTATTACAACTTTTAAACTGATATTTTATATATATATATATATATATATATATATATATATATGCAAGACTGAAAAATATCTTGTGGTGGCCTTGTGTTTGGGGACTTTATGAAAAGCACATCCTGCTGCATGTGATTTCCCGAAACTCGACTTCTCTTCCACCCGTGGTTTTGCCAGCAGCCTCTTTTCCCAGACCCTCTGCCTCCTCCTGGCCTCCCTCCTGCCACGCTCTGTCCCTTGACTGCTCAGGGCCCTCCAGGGACTGGGGAAAAGCAGCTTTGCTTTTAAGCCTCAGCTCCCTTGTCTCTGCAAAGGAAACAGTAACATCATTTTTCAGGATTAAAGGACACAGTGTATGTCGTATGCTTGACACAGTCCCAAGCCCACTGAGAGCGCTCAATATATCTTTAGCCCCTAATATTATAATCACTGTTGCTATTATTCACTACATGGTGCTGCCTTGAATCCTACTTAATAAGCTGTTTAATAGGCTACTGAATAAGGTTAACACTTAATAACATTAATATTTAATAAGCTACTTAATAAGCTTATGCCTAATAAGTTAGTGAGTAGTTCCTTCCGGTTCATTTGTATCCTAACTGAGGATGACTTATTGGCTCAAAGGAATATAATTGCTAATAGTGGAATCTTTGACACTTGACATATGTCACCGCCCTTTGGGAATGTGACTTTGGAAGAGTCTTTCTCCTCTCTTTCCCTTCTCACCAAGACCACCAAGGTCTGGGCAGAAGGAAAGGGAGAAGGTGCAGCCTGCAGGGCCAAGCTGAGATGAAAGCTTGAGCCTCCTAGGAGAGGCAAGAGGAGTCAGGATGTGCCCGTCAAGCAGGGCTGACTGTCCACAATCAGGGCGGCTCAAGGTCCCTCTCTACCTGGCCCAGGCCTGCTCCTCCAGCCTAGCAAGCTGCCCACAGCCTCCCACGCATGCGTGTGGGCTCCTGCCACCAGGATTGTTGGCATTGTTCTCAGCACCTCCGTCTTCCCTGCCCTCCCCTCTGCCAGGGCACACCACTCAGCACGCCCTCCTTCCTGAGGAGCTGACTAGCAGCTCTCTCCTAAGCTAGCTGCTCCCTCCAGTCCGCTCCCAAGCTACTTCACACGAACCTTGTTATTGCATTTATTGCACTTTACTGTCTTTATGTATTGAAATTATTTGCCTCCCAACTGGATAATGCACATTTCAGCCCACTACTGTGTTTTACTCATTTTATTGATCTCAGTTGGAGGGGAAAGTGTATCAGTTCAGCCAGTTCCTACTGTTGAGAATCAGCCTGAGTTATTGCCTTAGTCCATTTTGTGCTGTTACATTAGGGTATCAGCGACTAGGTAATTTATAATGAACAGGAATTTACTTATTGGCTCATGATGCTAGAGGCTAGCAAGCTCCAGACAGAGGGGCAGCCGTCCAGCAAGGACTTCTTGCTGCATTAGCCATGGCAGAAGGGCGAGGAGAGTGTGAGAGAGCAAAAGATTCAACTGAACCGCAGCCCTTTTATAATCAGCATCAAGCCACTCACGAAGGTGGGGCCCCACGACCCAAACACTTCTCATTATTATGCCCCCTCCCATCACTGTTGCATTGGGGATTAAATTTCCAACACACATTATTTGGACCACATATTCAAGGTGTATCAGTTATTTAATCTCTTTTTTTTTTGGTACTGGGAATCGAACTTGGGTTTTTGCACTTGTGCAGCAGGCGGCGAAACCACTGAGCTAAATCCCCGGCCCTATTTAATCTGTTTTAACAAAAATGTTCTCCTACATGAAACCAGGGCTCACAATGAATAATACTTCCCCGTGTGGTTATGGGGATAAAATAAAATGTGTTTGGTCAAGGACCTATTATATTCTTGTATATCTATAATAAGTTTTCAGTAAATAGCAATTCATTTCCTCCTCAAATGCATTCTGCATGGACACAAGGGAAGGGAAGTTTGGAATAAAAATTAAAAGATGAGGAAATTGTGCTTGGAACTTTGTAAACTGGAAAGGAGACAGAGAAAGAGGGTCAGTCTGAGTCCAGGGTCCAGTCATCTGGGAAATAATATTCCCCATCAGTACCATCACTGCTACATCTCCTTCACTGCTGGGCCTGGCTCTCTCCTGCGTACAGCTCTCCGGGCACAAAGCTGGCCTCTTTCCCAGATGTACCAGGAGGAGATCTAACCTGAGAACCCCGCCATTTCCAGGAGGAAAGCCCATACTACAGGAGGCCAATGGGGTGTGTGCGTGCGTGTGTGTGTCTAGTTTTATTAAAACGCCTACTCAGAAACTTGAGGATTTATTTTCTCCTATTTTTTGTAATTTCCCTGTGATTTTAAATTTTATACGTGACATTTAAATTCATCATCTTTTAAAAAATAAATTTGCGGGGTGGTAATCTATTTGAAAGTATTTCCAGATTCTTTACTAGTTCTTTCCCGATGCACTCAGTTTTCTCTCCAAGAACCTCCTCCCAAAGGTAGGACGTTTGTAGCCTGCAAGACTCATGAGCTCTACTTAGAAAACCCCCTCCTCACCTTCGTCTTTGTCTCTGCTTTCGAAGCAAAGGCTGTTTCCAGAGGGTGGCATGGTCCTGGCAACATTGAGGCACAGTAATCCTGGAAGGGAAGAAAGGGAGGTCCAGAAGTCGAAAACGATGCCTGCACTGACATCCTTTCTGACCAATGTCATCAGTTGACTTTCTTCAACCCGCAAAAAGTATGAGGCAATTTACCCAAATCCCTGGAGCTCCTAAAGTTAACCTAACCTTGATGCATCAGCTATGAGAAGAAGAACCGGTAGGGGGCGCAGTATTTCAGGGGGAGATGGAGCTCCTGGCCGCAAATTTGCCTCTGAGCATAACTCTTCATCAAAGCCAAAACGGAAAGGCAAACTGGCAATGTGAACTGCCTGCAGGTGGCCAATGATTATAAAACAATAAGTATATGGCCATCCTAGGAATGTCTGTGAGCACAGAGAATCTGATGAAGGCAGAGGATAGGAGCATGATTATTACTTAGAAGTGGAAAAGCAGACAAGGCGCGTGGGTCTTGCAGCCTGCTCCCATGGAGCCTCCCGCACCTGTAAAGCCCTGCTACTCAGTAACAGCCTCTTGCTTTTAAAATTGTAATTTTAATTTTGATGGTAGAACTAGGTGCAGATGATAAGATTTAGTTACAGAAGTTTCAAATTGTTCTAAAGCAAAAACTACTACTTTTACCATTTATGATTTCTTGTATTAATACATCAAACAGTCTTCCTGTCCAAAAACCTGATGATTGAATTTCTCCTAATAAGAAGGTGGGGTGAGACAGGATCTTGCTATGTAGTTCAAGTTGGCCTTGAACTCTCAACAATCCTTCTGGCTCGGCCTCCTGAATACTGGGATGTGTGATTCTTTTCTTTTGCTTTTGCTTTTTCTCTTTTTCTCTTTCTCTTTCTCTTTCTCTTTTCTTTCTTTGGTGGAGGTGGTGGTGCTGCTGCTGGGGATTGAACGCGGGGCTTTACATTGAGCTACATCTCTGGCTCCTTTATATTTTTTATTTTAAGATGGGATCTTGCTAAATGACTAAATTGCCCAGACTGGGCTTAAACTTGCAATCTTCCTTCTCAGCCTCCCAGGGGGCTGGGATTTCGCGCATGCACCGCCACACCTGCCCCTCATCCCCTCCCCCCCTTCTGCTCCTTCACCTCCTTCATTTTTTCATATAAATTTGTGAGGTAATAAGCTATCTGAAATTATTTCCAGATTCTCTATTAGTTCTATCAGTTGAATACTCTTCCATTTTCTTTTGTCGTCTTCTCCAAGATAAATTATTCGAAATTATTGGGTGATACAAGCCATACTCCAGAGTTGTCTATTTTGTTTCAGTGAGCAATTTGTCTACTTTTAGTAACATCCCATTTAAATCGCTATAACTTCATTACAATTGTCACCCTCTCTTAATGGCATGTTGTAATATTTTCTTAGATCTTCTCACTTTCTTCTTGCCATTATTGTCTTCCTTTTTCTCCTCCTTCTCTCTCTCCATCTTTTCCCTTCATTGAGTTATAAAAATTTGAGGCTAAGTTCGCCTCTTTTTTTTTCTATGCACATAATGTATTTTGTATCTATTCTTTTCTGCTAGCTGACATCACATCATGGATATTTTCAC